GCGTGTCGTGTCAACGGATCCTCGATCCTCGCTCGCGTTTTCCGACTAGGTAAATTCATACTAGTTCAAGTATATCAAGTTGACGTGTTTACGTGCAGGTGTAACAGGGACGTTCGGATTAGAGTAGCCTATCGTGTCACTGGATCATTTGTCTTCGCTCTCATTTACCGAGTAAAGTGAACTCGTGCTAGTTTCAACAATTCTTATTGAAATACCCAATTTTCCTTTTACCTTACACATGTATTTCTACTAGGTATGGTTTTTACAAAAATGAATAGTTTAAGAATATGCAACATTAGCACACTTTTGATAATGATACAGTTTATCATTGCTCGATTGGAAGTTAGTTAGTTTTAAGCAATGAATTAATGACAATTCATGCTTGACTTGTTTTCTATTCCTTTGATTAATTATCCTGGTTTTTTTAAAAAAAAAAAACATTTTCCATCACAATCTCATGATCCAATGTACACTGATGGAATAGTAAAAAGGGCAAATTCATACACAATTGTGCTTATTGTTTAGCAAAGGATTTTTTTTTGTCCGGTAAAAGAAATTTACTTTACTAACTGATGACAATCTAGAAAAATTAAAACGGTTGTATTTTTCCCTGTATCCCGGATAAAAGATCAATAGAATTTGTTAAGTGTTGAAAAGAATTCAACGTCAGTGATATTATTCATTACTGAGTGCTCTCAGTTATTGATATGCTCGCTCGTCACCAGTTGATATGCTTGAATGCTATTGTGAGTTCACCTTAGTCGGTAAACGAGAGCGAAGACAAATGATATAGTGACACGATTGGCTATTCCGATTCGATTGTTCACGGCGCTGATAACTATATCAAGAAATCTTGATAAGGCGTAGATAGTGTATTCTAGTAGCACATAGACTGACACACACACACACACACAAATCGAGTTTATTTATACATGATAGAAACGTCCTTGGGATAGCCACGAAAAAATAGCGTACTAAAATAATCCATCATCCAATGACAGTCAAGGATCTTCCGAGTCGGAAATGAAATCTCAAGGCCAACACAAAAAATCTGAAATCAGGATTTTTTCCAAGTGGATTCTGGCGATCTAATTCTCCAACAGTTACTTAACAAATTTTCTTACTCACTCACTCACTCATTTTCACCTGTTTTACCTAAACGAGCTTAGCCCGCCGATCGGCATTATCCAACCTACTCTTTTCTGGGCCTTCCTTTTCAGTTCTACCAAATCGTTACTCATTCTTTTGATGCCTGTGTCCGATTCTCGGCGTAATGTTTGCCTTGATATACCTCTTTTCTTTTGGCTTTGCTGATTACAAGTTAAGACTTGCTTTGTGATGCAGTTGGGTGCTTTCCACCTCGAGCGCTTCTTCTTGCTTTCTTACTCATCTGGAATCTGGCTTGTTCTCTCCCATAGTAGGTTGTTGCTGATGGTGTTTAGCTAACGGATCTGCAGTATCTTGCGTAGACAACTGTTAATGAACACTTGTATCTTGTCGATGACGGCTTTCGTAAGTTTTGATGTTTCCGATTCACAGCATAGTGATGACATCTATGACTTTGAAATTACATGGGATTGAATCGGTCAGCAATCATTAGTTCTCTTCAGATTACAGGTAGACCTTGATGATGAGTATTGAGTAGCGTGAAACTTCGGTTTGACAGGGTTTAATGTTGGCCATTTCTAATCACCATGTTACATTTTAATAGATTAGATTATCGATATGAAAAAAATTTTTTGCTTCATGAGAGACACCATGTTATTTAGTTTTACACTTTAAAAAACCTGTCATTATAACTACACTACCCTGGCCAATAAATAATATCGCTCTTCTATAGTTCTTTGTTTCTGATTTATAATTCGTTTACACATTTTGAAACCATGAATCGATCAATGTTAGACCACCATTAGAAACCTGAGAGCGCTGCACGCCAGTTTCGTTCTGGTATGGGACTCATCAATGGATGTGCACTACTGATGAGTCCCATACCAGGACGAAACGGCCGTCCAACGCTTCGAGGTTTCTAATGGTGGTCTAACATTGATCGATTCATGGTTTCAAAATGTGTAACTTAAAAATCTTCACAACCCCGTAATGTAATTCATTAAAATGTTTTTAACCTAAATTTTCCTTGATCGAGTTATCTAATTTTGTGTGAATCTTTCGTACATTTCATCAGTAGACAAACATTTTCTTCCTTAAATGTGATTACTTGGGGAAAATAGCTCAACAGTCGTGTATATTTCTTCGGCCTTACCATCTAAATATATACTAACATGTTAGTCGGTTGGCGGCAGTTTGAATATAACTCGAGATCTACGCTTTATACTGATTCCCACTGGTCAGTAAAGTGTATCTAAAAAATTCTTGAGGAAACTGATGTTCCCCAATGAGATACAAGACATTACCACTGAGTCCTACAGTTCGTAGCTGATCTTTTTATAGTACTAAGATACGTTAAATTGATTGATCACTTAATAGTACCGAATACTAGATTGTTGAATTGTGTGACGTGTTTGAGTCCCACAGAGAAGATCAAATTCATCATGACGATAGCAATGGAAACTCATGCCTCAGATAATTGCTTTGACAGGAATCGCGACTTACTGAATGAAGGGCACATTTTACTCTGACAATTGTACTCAATAAATCAATTATTATTCGTTAATTTTAAAAGTAGAAAATTTCCTCTCCTAGTTCTCAATTAAACCATTTCATAAATTCTAAAATTAACTGTCCAATCAATCAGTCACATAGTTTAATTTTTTCTGGGTTTTACTTTATTAAAAAAATAAATTTTTATTTTTGCCTTAAGGGATAGAAAAATTAATTACCAAATATATACATATATATATATATATATAAAGGAAATATGCTTCTCCATGTGTTGTAGTCTACAACTCTTCATTCATTTTCGACACCATTGAATATGACCCCAAATTTTTTCCCATCAGAGTCAAGGTCAATAAAGATAGGATTCGTTCGATCTAACTGAAATTGTGAAAATAAATTGTCTAAATTTATTTGTAACAGCATAAAATAAGTCACACATTAATGATAATAATTTTAAAATTGAACGGATGTTGACAAGAGAGAGAGAAAAAAAAGTATATAACTATTCCTTATTTTTTTTTGTTTAACGAAAATCTAACGACTGCTACTGTTAGTATCATCATTATGGATTATTATTACGAAGCGTTTTGTGTTTTGCATTGTAATGGGAAAAGTTCACGTCAGCAGATGGAATCTCTCTGATTGTAATTTACACAAGCACTCACACACACACCCACAGCTACACACTGAGAGACAGAGAGAGACAGAGAGATCTATGTAGATATGTACATACTAACTGATGTAAACGTCATTTCATTTGGCTGAGAGACAAAAATTAGCATATTTTTTTTCAACCAATCTAGCGTGTTTACATAGTTTGATTGTAAAATGTTTATATGTGTACATAAAAGTAATTTATATGTTAACTAGGATTCGTGTTTAAATTTGGCAAACATTTCCATTTCCTTTTGGCTAATTTGAAAATGATCAGCGAAAAGTTAGACGACAGTTAGTCTATTGATTTTTTGTTTCTAAAAAATATTAAACCCGATATGGTTTAATTGGTAATCACTTAAGACAATTGATAAGGTTCCGCAATATTGGGGATCATCACCTCAAGTTACAAAGTGACATCATTGGAGGATGCTGGCTCAGTGGTACGGAGGTTAGACGTTCATGCGTGAAACCGAATGTCCTGAGTTAGATTTTAGTGTGACAATTTACTGCGTATTCTTAAGCTCGGTAATTAGCTTGTCGAGACAATCGTTACTAAATAGCGTCAGACGGTTTATAAATCAGAAGGTGAACTCGAAGTGATGAATACGTTTATTTGGGACACACTACAAAGCGAAGTGGAGAAGCAGTGAATAAAACGAATGAAAGGACGTGAATTGGAGAAGGCTGTTGAGACAACTACCAGGATTACAATGCGAAGAAATGGGCAAAGGAAGCGAATGGGCAGGCGAAGCGCGTTTGATAAGGCTAGTGAGCCAACTCCAGGAGATAGAGCGTGACTAAGAATATATAGTCAGACAAATATCACTCGGTATAGCTATATCATTATTGAAAACCTGGATGGAATAAGTGTCCGTTTCGTCAAAGTATGGAACCCACTAGCAGTACACATCCACTGACCTGCATGCGGGATCCCAGCCGAGGATCTTCGATCTACTCAATATTTAGGTTACCGAGTCAGTATTTAATGGTGGTAGTGTTTAACCTCAATCGATTGACCATATTATTCAAGCCTTATCGATTGCCTGTATTAGGCGTTTGTCTCACACTCAACATGATCGTTCTTCAGCGGTCACAGCTTCTCACTGAGACTCGGAGAATTACATCTTAAAATTAGTCACTAGTGAGCAAATGATTATTATTCATACAGAGTGTAGGATTTGTTAAGATTATAGAATTTTCACAGTTTAAATCACGAATCAGTCTTCGTTCGTCAGCCAAAAGTAAACAGTCTGATTTCTATCTTGATGCTCTCATATATGGTCACTTGTATACAGCCACTATCAGGGAAGTCCTAATCACTACCTTTTCGTGACTAGATTGTTCTTTTCCTAATTGTAAGGAAGGAAAGAGATTGTCCGGAACTTAAACAGGGTTAGGGCATTCATTGGATCCACCTAAGGGAATTAGAAAAACCCTCATTCCAAACTAATGTTCCACGTGGGCCTCAATATTCTAATGGATAGAATCGCATGTGAACCTATTGTTGGTCACCAGCTACCATGAGACTTCGTCTCCTGACATTGCTCCACTGCTTTTTGAATATGAACCGTGTCAAAAATCAAATCTGCCACATTCAGACCTCGCAGATAATGCTCAATCCTTAAAATATTAAATTGGCATTCATCACTTTACCATTCAAACTTCAATTATTTATTTCATATTTCACTCTGTTCCTTTAAATTTTTGTTATTATTTTTAATTTCTAGGGTCAAAGTGTTGATGAAGCGTTAAATGGTCCAATGCGTAATCATTTACGTTTTTTAGTTATAAAAGATTTACACTTATTACAACCATGGTATCATCATACTATAAGACGATATGAAGCTGAATCACGTTTGGCTAGTGAAGGTAATCAAGAAGGTGCATTTTTGTAAGTTTCTAATTTTGGTTTGTTATCTCGTAAACTGTATGAATCAGTTTTTGTTTCACATTGAAATCATGAATGAGCCATTGTAAGACTATCATTAGAAACATGGAAGCGCTGAAGGCCGGCCGTTTCGTCCTGATATGTGCCTCATCATCAGTGCGTATCCACGACTCCTGCTACTTGCAGGATGTGAAGCCAAAACTTTCGATCTCGCGCACGAACGCGTAACCTCTGGACCACTGAGCCGGCATCCCATGGTGTTAAAGTCTAGTTCTGATCGATCTAAGGATTTTGCGTACTGCTGATCACCAGGAAAAGCTTTAGCTGTTATTGGTTACTGTGTTATTTTAGTCTGCTATTTTCGTGACTTCCCCAAAGACGTCTCTATGGTGTAAAAATAAACGCGATTTGTGTGCTGGCTCGGTTTTTGTAGAATACAAATTTCTACGCTATATCAAGACTTCTTGTCAGTGCCTTAGGGTTAACGGATCAGAATAGCCTACCTGGACGCTGGTTCATTGTCTCGTTCTCATTATTCTACTAAAGTGAACTCGTAATAGTTTTTAAGCATACCTAGTAACGAGTGTAACAAGATCGTTAATACAAATTCTACAAACAAAATATGAACCGAATTGATTTATGAAAGGCAATTATGATTGTTGTTCTTGTTACTATCACGTTTTAAAATTCTTTCATAAAATACTTTTTACCATCCATGTTGAACTTATAAATTTACAATTGAACAGATGTTCAATGCTTCAATGTTTCTTTTTTTTATAGTTTCGGTTCACTTTTTTTTCATAACATAAACTAGACAGAACTTTATCGACAGAAATACCATCCAAACTAATCAATCTACAAATTCATTTGTATTGGTTGTGTTGAAATTTTTTTTCAGTGATATTTTTGAACTGAAAAGATAATCAGTTGGGTTTTTAGTATATGCGCGCATCCTGTGTGTTATTGCCTCGTTGATATCGCCATTAAGATATAAGTTGATTTTAAGTAGATAAATAGATAGATAGATACAAAGCAGAAGTTCGTACGTAAGTACATCAGTTCAAGTTGCTATACTGCATCTGCACAGAGACGCAACTATCAGTTCAAATCACATAAAGTTAGCGATAGTAGAAGTATTAGTAGTAATGGAGAAGATTAGGGTTCGAAGATGTTATTCAAGAAGTATAATTCAGTGAGATAAATTTAGAAAGAGAAAGATAGAGATGATGAGGAATTCAGAAGATTAGAATTTGAGAGAACACAAAGAGTGGATATGCACTTGCGCCATTGCAAACGACTTTCAATCATGTTGTTCAAGATCTCTAACCATTGGTGACCTTCGTCTCGCCAACCCCAAGTTGATTTTAGAATAAATGGGCTATGTTTAGTAATGGAATCCAAGATGGGTCTTTCGTTCTATTTTTGGAGCTTGTTAGCTGGCTATACCTGTCACATCTTAGAGTTGATGTTTTTTGTGTGTCTCGAACCTAATATTTTTTATTTTAAACACCAATCGCGTTATTCTTTTAGCTACTGATTCTACATAGCTAAAGGTTTGTACAATGAAGTTAAGTTGAATTCATTTATTATTGGTTGTTTGTGGTGTAGTTTCGTTCTCTGAGCTGGATGTTTTGGTTGTGGAGATTTAATCATTGTTCTTCCGAACAATATCATCAGCACAAACTTCAGGTAGAGGAGTAAAATATTCGCATTCCTGCGCATATAATCCGGAGCTTGTTTTGTCAACCTTGATCTTGATTGGTTCACTTCTATCTGAAGTTTGTGCTGATGCTTTTGTTGCTCAGAAGAAGAACAATGATGAAAGCTCCCCAACTAGAACATCCAGCTCACAGAATGAAACTTCACTACAATCATCCACCTAAGCTACAAATTTTCTCCACCATCTCAATATTGGTTGTTTAAATCTCCCCATTGACCTTTAGGACTGCGTTTGATCAGTCAGGAATGTACAAATAACAAAATCCTGTTAAAACTGAATATTTTCAAATTCAAATTTCACAAATTTCATTAACTTTTATCATATCAAAGTAGAATTTCCACTCTAGATTGAACCACTGTTATAGTAATTAAAAAAAAAGATTCTTTACTAATCTTGATTGATTGTAACTTCCTGTGAATTTCTTTGAAAACCGTCCAATATCAAAGAAAATTATATCATATATCATCATATATCATCTCAAATCATTGAAACTATTATTTTTGGTTAGATATATTAAAATGTAATCGATAAGGATTATGAGAAACAGAATATTAGTTACTTACCTACTTACTTACTTACTTACTTACTTACTTACTTACTTACTGGGTGATCAATGATTCTCGTTTATTGAATGTTCAATGTGATTTCATTGAAACATTGAACAAACATGAACGTAGTACACACAATGATGATACTTAAAATATGGAACTTTGTAATAAATAGAAGGGAAAAAATAAAGGACAGAAGGATAAAAAAAAGAAAGAAGATGAAGTGTTTTGAAACCAATTGAAATGAAAATGAAAATTAAAGATGGATTAATTACTTTATTTATTCTCAATAAGTGTTTGAGTAGATCAATGAAAAACAATACTATGTAAAACTATTATCACAAGTCTAATAACACTTTTATCAATAAGTTGTATTTCGTTTTCAAATATTAATAGCAAATATATATTATAGGGTTGTGAATAGTGTTGAATAACTTTGAAATTATGAATCAATCATTGTTAGACTACCATTAGAAACTTGGAGGCACTAGACGGTACATCAACAATGCGCATCCATGACTCACCATTCATAGGAATCGAACTCAGGATCCTCGATCTTACCCGTAAATGGTTAAAATCTGGACCACTGAACTGACATTCAACGATGCTAATATCTAACTCAATAATTAACAAAAACCTCTATAACTCTACAATGAATGTCATACAAAATGCTCACTAGTGACTAGTTTCTTGAAGAAACTTTCGGAGTTCTAGTGAGAAGTTGTTATAACGCTGCTACATATAGCTATTCAGTCCTAGCGGCGTCCAATTCAAATATCCCAATACGACCCAAAATGCTATTTCCAAATCTCCTATATATCAGAACGCAACACCGTGGGATGGAGTTGTTTATTGGGTCGAGAACAGAAGAGAGGTAGGCAGGAAGAAACGGAATCGGAATCCTGGAGAATTACAGATAGTGCGTATTATAAATACGCACTAAGGTCGAATAGGAAAGAGCATCAAAGTCTGTGACATTGATAGTTTAGGACGACCAATACGAAAGAACATTTGAAATGACATTGACAGTCCGGATGACCAATCAGAGACAACATTGAAGTATTTGTCTTTCACAGTTAAAACGATCACAATTTTGAACAATCGAAATCGACCAATAGGATTATACTTCCAAAAATAGTACTCTTAAGATATTTGGTGAATATCCTAACAGAAGTCATGATCAATGAAGTCCAACCCCGTTGTTTGTAGGCAGTATCTATGGGTGAGATTGTTTAAAAACCTTGGATTGATCAGAGACAGACGATAACACCACTAGATACCGGCTCATTGATCTAGAGGTTAGACATTTGTGTGCATTACCAAATGTCCTAAGTTCATTTGTTGTGGATGCGCACTACTGATGAGTCTCATACCAGAACGAAACACCTGTCTACTGCTTCCAGGTTCTTGATGATGCTCTAAAATTGGCCGATTCATGATTTCAATAGAAAACAACAATCTCCATAACTCTATCATGAAAACTTTTAATCTTTACTTAGTAAGATAAATGCAATTGAGATAAACATTTAAATTTTTTAAAAAAAGTAATTAAACGAATTTATAGTAATTTAATAAATTTTAACAATAAATATCATTGATATCATTATTTCTGTATGTTTTTTTTCCCGCTTCCCTAAATACATTCATGAATCAAATACCAATCTTTAATGACAATAACCATCATATTGTTGTTGTTTTTGTTGTTATCGATTAGAGTTCGTTATCGTAAAGAAGACAGAACGTATGTGTTAAGTTTAACTAGTCAAAATGAACCAAAACATTATCGTATTGAAGAATATTTAAGTAGATGGTCTATAGAAGGTGGACAATATTTTGAAACAATCATGGAAGTAAGCGTTTTATGTGTATGTATACATATATGTATTTGTCTCTCTTCTAATATAATGGTTACATTGTTTGTTTATTGATTAACTGTGACTTGCTTATTTAATTACTTACGCAGGTTATCCCCAATAATGCATAGGCCACCGACCAGTGTATTCTCCAGTCTACTCTGTCCTTGGCTTTCCTTTTCTAGTTCTGCCTGATTGTTGTTCATTCTTCTCAAATCCTTTTGAATGAAACAATAGATAGATAGTGGCTAACAGTCGAATACAGGATGCACGTCAGCTGAATGCAAATGTATCTCAAACTCGAATCCAATACTGTTTACTTCAGATATCACTGTATTATTCACTTAGCTATTAGGTTGAACTAGCCCATCCAGTTGTGCAACAAGTATGAAATTTTATTCAATTTTGACATGGTTTGATTTATCCGGTTGGTTGATATTTTCATTGAAATGCGATCACTCTTGGTTATCATATAGAAAAAGTTTACGTAGACTAGATAGAATATGGTTAACAGTGTAGATGTAGGCACATTCAGCTGGTCAATTCCGAATAGGATGATGAAATGCTCTTTGTCAATTTCATGACTAATCATATTCTATCCTATTCTATATAAACTTATATCATATTGGTTATATCAGGGCAATCCGCATAGGATTGTACACATACCAACTAAGACTGATCAATGGTAGTCCTAAACATCAGTGGGGAAGTTTCAAACAACCAGTACAAGTGAACTGAATAATGCAAATATTTGAAATAGGTAAAAAACAGAACTAGATTAAATAAAAGAAATGAATTCTCATGGTTTTTGGTGACCATCATTAGGTTCATACGAGGTTCGCTCCTTCAGGATACTGAAGCACACATAGAGCATTGGTTTAGAAGGACAGTCATCCAATTTCCTTAGAGGGAATTCTCCGAACACACTAACCTTGTTTAAGTTCCGGACATTCTTTTGACATCCACTCAATTTTGAAAAGAACACTACAGCCTCGTAAAGTATTTCTCTTGTAGTGGCTGTATACCTGTGACCATATAAGATCATTTGAAACTGGGATAGCGAACTATCCTCACTCCCATTCGTAACGTTGCATTTTGGGGGCCTATTTATTTTTGGGTTCTGTTAATTATCCTTCCTCGTATTCACCTACAGAAATCTTTTTACCACGTCTTACTGCTCCTAACTAGTCAAAATAAATCATCTTGTCATCGGCCGAGCGTCTAAGCTATTACAACGATATCAATTCAACTACCTCACTGAACTATTCAGTCAGCTGTAGCGATGTACGATGTGTACAGTGGGAAGGAACGCAATAAATGCAACATTTTGACTTTAACTAACCAGGAATCAATCATTCTGGTAGAATTATTGTAAGGGCTGATCCCAGTCACGGTGGTGATGAGACTGCTTGCTCAACCTTTTAGGGCCAGGTTTTCAGGCTCAATAGCACCATCATTGTAGTCAGTCACTTGTTCAACGAATACAAAGTTATTTCATAAATATCTCTTTCGCTCTACTCTGGATGTTATCTCAGTGGGGATAAAGTATGAGGATTCTATCTGGAAGGTATTAGGTTTAAGCCGTAATTTGAACATCAATATTAGCATGCAGTTAACTGTTGCCGAAGTGTCCCAAAGAGGAAGAAATGCATTTCCTAGATTCTATTACTAGCCAACTTTTATTCAGTCAATAATTATTTTCCTTTAGATGCTCCAAGAATTAACACAACAGCTTTCTGGTAGTATTTTAAATAACTAAAAATTATTTATTACATTCACTGACAATCATACAGATAAATATCCAATCTAACAGTCAATAAATGTATTTAACTATTCTTAAATGATAAACTTTCAGAACAAAATTTACCACAAAGCGTTCATTTCACTAAACCACCATTATCATACTTCGTCAGTTCAAATTAGTTTGTATAGAAATATCATGAAGCTGGGTTTGAATCATGCTAGGTGCAGGAGTTGTAGATACGTACTGCTGAGGAGTCCCATACCAGGACAAAACGGCCATCTAGTGCTTACAGGTTTCTAATGGTGGTCTAACATTGATCGATCTTCACAACCCCGTAATGCAAATTACCTGTGCTCACTAATGACTAGCTTCGTGAGGAATCTTCTCCGAGTTCTAGTGGGAAGACGTGACCAGTGAAGTTCAACCTGTTCGGGTGTAGACAGTAACTACCGAAGACTGTGTATGAGGTTGCGCAACTCCGTGAATTGATCAAGTTAAACATTATCATCGTTAGATACCGGCTCAATGGTCCCATGGTTAGGCGTTCGCGCACAATACCGAAGGTCCTGGGTTCGAATTCTGCGGGATGCAGTAATCATGGATGCGTACTGCTGAGGAGTCCCATACCAGGTTTCTAATAGTGGTCTAACATTGATCGATTCATGGTTTCAAAAATGTGTAACTCAACAATCTTCACAACCCCCTAATACATATATGTATATATACATTAGTTTAGTGGATCTGCAGAGATGACAGAATTTCGTTAATTTAAACCACCAACTAGACAGACCACCAGTGAAAACTAGAGAATCATAGATACTGAATATTTGAATTTGGATTACAATTTCAATGGTTCAATCTTTTGTGAGGTAGTGGATATGCACTGCTGAAGAGTCCCATACTGGGACGAAAAAACAACCATCCAATGCTTTAAAGATTTTAGTGGTAGTATAACTTGCATTTGTCCTATATTTCAATAATATACTAGTCAAAACCATACAACCATTCACTTATTTGCCTACTTATGCGTGTTACCCCCAATGAAGCATAAGCCGCCAACCAAAATTTTTCAACCTACTCTGTCCTCCACTTTCCTTTCTAGTTCTATCCAATCGGTGTTCATTCTTCCCAGGTCTGTCTTCATTTCTCAGCATAATGGTTTGAATTATATTTTTTCTTCTGATCAGCATTTCGTTTAAGGGAGTTCGTTTCCTACGAGATAGGGTCACACTAACCCTATGCTAAATCCCTCCTCCTTTATTCAAAGCCTAAGATCGACACTAGTCCCAACATAGGCTCTAAAAGGAGTTTTAAGAAAAGCTAACTGTATTGTTATTCGCAAAAAAAGCGCACAATTTTCGCTTAGGATTTTATTACCTCTTTCTTCTGTCTTTTATTTCAGCTCATTGATCATTATCATTTTCGACAAGATGGATTATTGTGTAAATTACAAAGAGCAATACCAGTGTCCAATTTCACATGTTCTATTTCAGGTAAAAAAATAAAATTAGTTATGTGTATTCTAGTCTTTTTTATTTTTTTAATTTTGTGTCAGAACTTGGAATGATCTAAGCATTGTCAGTATTGTGCTATACAATATATATACAACGAAATGAATGTGTAATTCGTCTGTTTCTGCTTGCTTTTTTGTTCTGTTTTAAAATTTTAGACAAAATGACAATTTGTCTTGTATCCCCTATTTAAATGTTATGCTAATTTCTGATTGATGAAGTTACATTCAATGGAAAAAGATGATATCTATATTGAGGTGATGGTGGAGTTTTATTCAATTGAGCTAGATGGGTTTTTTTGTGAAGATTTCTGTTGGGTGGCGTTAGATATCCCCAGAACTCACTTGGAAAACGTCCTAATTTTGTAATTTTATTCGGTTGTTTTGAATTTCATTGTTTTCGCGCCATGTGACGCTTAGTTGACCTTCAGCCAACATTTCCCACCTGGAAAATCTTTGGCTGTCATCGGTTGATTGTAATGTTGCATGTTATGCTAATTTCTGATTGATGAAGTTACATGCAGCGGATAAAGATGATATCTGTATTGAGGTTATGATGGAGTTGTATTCAATTGAGCTGAATGGTTTTTTTCTGTGAAGATTTCATCATTGTGTTCTTCTGAATAACATTATTATTCAGCACAAGCCTCAGGTAGAATCGGAGTGTTCAACTTACTTCATATCTAAGTTCAATCTTGATTAGTTGTTATTGACTTTTGACTTGTCGTTATCTGCCTATGTATTCTAAGTGTATCCACTTTCGATCGTCTTCTTGATGCTATCGTTTACTATGGCTTTTCTGATTGATCGATTCCGATCTGTGTTTGTTGATCTGGGTGCTGAGCTTTTAAATGGTTTTAGAATAAAGCGACAGCTAATGACAAGTTAACAATTAATTAGGATCGAGGTAGACAGGAAAAGCCACTAGCCAATAATGAAGAAATTCGAACACTTCACTCCTACTCGAAGTTTGTGCTGATGATGTTGTTCAGCAGAACAATGAATACTTCACAATCGAACCATCCAATTCATAGAATAAAAACTGCATTATAATCATCTTGATAATATGAAGGTATTCTTTACTCCTTGAATAAAGTATATAATATCTGTTTTATCAAATTGGTTTATGTTCTTTGATCATTTTAAAACATCTGTTCAATCATCAATACACAGAATTTAAACGAACAACTGTACTAATTCGAAGATGATTGATTATTATGAAATTTCATGATTTATATTGTGAATTGAACTTAGTTAATTGGTCATTAAAAATTAGAACGTATTTAATAAATGTTCTGCTTGAATGTGAGTTTCATCTTACTTACTTACTTACTAATACATGTTACTACCAATGGAGCATAGGCTACCGACCAGCATTCTCCAGCCAAATCTGTTCTGGACCTTCCTCTCCGATTCTGTTCAATTTTTGTTCATTCTTGTCATATGTGTCTCCGTTTCTCATCGTAATGTGTTTCTTGGTCTCCCTGCCCTCCGTTGAGGTTTCTAAGTGACGGCTTGTCTTGAAACGCAGTTGAGTGCTTTCCGCAATGTATGTCCTATGCACTTCCGCCGTGTCTTCCTAGTTTTTTCCTCAGCTGAAATCTGATCTGTTCTCTCCCACAGTAGGATGTTTCTGATGGTGTCTGATCAACGGATCCGAAGTATTTTGCTTAGATAACTGTTAATAAACACTTGTATCTTCTGGATGATGGCTTTCAGAGTTCTCTAAGTTTCTACCGCATACAAAGGAGAAATGTCTTGTCATTTGTAATGAAAATCCTGGATTTGGTATTTGTCGACAGTTGTTCTTCAATTATAGTATTATTAGTAACCCTTATTTACAAACTTGACTATTAATCATACTCTGGACATTTAAGCCTTGTTACCATCTCTTGATACTTATCAACCATCTTGACAAATAAAACTTCTTCAAAACAGATATGATTGAACTTCATAGAACGGAGCTGTTTACTAGAATTTTAAGAATTATCATTCAAAAATTTCTTTATTATTGACTAAATAATATCTGTTCGTATAAAGTGAATCATGAAAATTGTTAAAGAATAATTTCTACTAAAAATATATAACATTTCGTACCATGATCCTTGTAACCTGAAGGCAATATCAAAGCGATCTAATACACGATGTACATATGCTAAATAAGAATGATCAATTTTAATTGTCCACACCAATGAATTAATCTTCGCTCTATTGAACAAGCTGTGGTGTGAGCTACTTATAAGTAGTATATGACGTGAGTGTCGACGTAATGTCTGGCAGCATAATATGGGGGGAAGATCAAGAAAGGAAGAGTTAGAAAACAATGGAATTTGTATGAAACGCATGAATAGTGACAATGGATTGATGTTTTGCAACAGGAACAGTTCAGTTCGATAGGATGAACTGATATTTTGCAAATGAACAATTTACGATATGGTTTTCCGATTTTACTGAGTAACTCTGTAATTTTCGTTAAATACAATTCGGTTGCCCCACCTGTGTTCTCGTTCACAACATATATACATATGTCAACTGAGACTGATCAGTTGTAGTTGTCCACATGAATGAATTAATCTTCACTCTATTGAACAAGCTAGTGACTATCTGTACTCACTAGCTATATAGATAACACTATAGCGTTTGAAGCATAAGGTACTAGGTTCCAGTATCAGCATGAACATAGACACTGAGTTGTCGTGGGTACACCGAGCTGATCAGTCTCAAAGAGGACGAATTCCATCACTAGCCATTATCCACCTTTGCTAATAATGTTTATAGCCTAAAGGCCATCTACACAGGATGTACATTTACCAAAACGAAACTAATCAACTGCCGTATTAAACATCAATCGAAATATTCAAACATGCAGTACAAATAAATTCGTATACTTATTTATACTTAACCGATTACCTCTAGTTAAAACAAATTCAAAGATAATTCTATAAATAGCAAGAGAGAATTTCTTATATATATGTGTATTTTTTAAATTCATATTCACCTCTTTGATATTGACTATTGAACAACAAATGTTCGCATTAAATTGTTCATTTTTTTGAAAAAAAATAAAGATAAAAACTATGACTATGAATAATAGATATATTTAAATATATATATATATCCGGTATATTGGTTGTTAAGTTACCTAAAATAATGCCTTCTACAAATGAATATGTATATATATATATATATATATATATATATATATATATGTATATATATATATATATATATATATATATATACGTGAACATAATAGGATACGCGTATGAACTACATTTTGGACAATCGTATAGGAGCGTAGTAATACAATACGCTCTTAAAAATTACGCTATCTTAACAATAGATTGTTTCATTAAACAAATTAACGCAACAATAACAAAGAACAGTGTAATACAAATGAACAGAAACAAACAGAACACATAACAGGTGTTTTTGTTTTTTGATTTTCAAATACTCATACGATAATTTTTTTCCCGCCTCGCTTTGTAATTGTCCGATCAGATTATATCCGTCCTTTTTTAAGTTAAAGAGTAAATAGTGTTCTATGTAGCATTTGTTTTAATATATGTGTACGTTTATTGAAATTGTAAATCGATCGTTGGTGGATTATCATTAGAAACCTGGAAGTATTGGATGACTGTCTTGTCCTAGTGGCAAGCACCCAGGACTCTCGCTATGCGCAGGAATCTAACCTGTGACCAGTGGAGTTCAGCACTGTTGGATGAAGGCAGTAGTTACCCATCGAAGACATTGAGTGAGGTTGCACACATCTTTAGATTGATCAGAGTTAGACGCTAACACCGTCAGATGCCAGTTCAGTGGTTTGGAAGTTGAGTGTTCGCCCGGCAAAAAAACAAAAGGTCCCGGGTTCGAATCCTTCCAGTAAGGATCAAAGTTGCTCACTGCCTAAGAGTCCTATTCTATGAAGAGGTCTTCACTCAACTAGCAACGAATAGAACCCTGATGGTTATTGATTTTTCACACTTACGTTTTATTCAAAAATACATTATGATAAATCACTGCTGCAAATTTATTTATGTTAATTTGATAAATTTACATCTTGTATTCATTTGTTTGTTTGTTTGCAATGTTTTTTTCCTACAATAATCAAAAAGGTTCCGGTGGTATATCGAAATTCACAACAACGGATGATTTCAAAGTGAGTTTTTTGATTATTGACTCATTGAACATATCAATATATAAATATATATATACGTAGATATGTAACAGCATCAATTGACGAGCATGACAGGTAGATTGATTGATAACACTGAATCATTGTGACTTAGTTAAGTTGAAAGTTAACTGTGATAAGAAATTTGAACTGTTAAACTCCAATTCATCACTTGGTTAGTAGGTTCTCGCTTTCTGTCAAATTTGTGGGCTTGAAGATTTGATTACCTCTGAAAGAGGTAAGATTCAAATTCAGAAGAAAAAACTGTTAAATGTTTCTTGTGCTTTTCAATTATTAATGAGTTCGCGATAAGCTTTTTCTTCAATTTGTAAATAAATCTTAAATAGATCACATTTATGGAAAAAAAACTTGTTAGTTTTAAATTCTGTGGAACAAGTACTGAATATAAAGCTTACAGTTCCAAGTAATTAATATATTATAGAGATATACAGCCTTATATCTCAAATATTGAAAAGTATATTTTCCTCTCAAAGTAATGTATTGAATTGGTGAATGAAATAAGAGAACTACTCTGCACTGCACATCCATGACTACCGCTACTCGCAGGAATCGAACCCAAGACATTCGATCTTGTATGCGAACACTCATCCGGCATCTAATAGTGTTAATGTCTAACTTCGATCACTCCAAGGTCTTCAGCAACCCCATCCACTGTTTTCGGTAAGCACTACTTCACACTCGAAACGGTTGAACTTCATCGGTCACGATTTCTCTCTAGAAGCCAGAGAAATTTTCTCGCAGGGCTAGTCACTAGTACGCACATGATAATTTTCATAAAAGGGTTGAGGAGATTGTTAAGTTACTCATTGAAATCATGAATCGATCAATGTTAGACCACCATTAGAAACCTGGAAGCACTGGATAACTCTTTTGTCCATGTCTGAGACTCATCAGCAGGGAGCATCCATGCAGGAACCAAGCGCAAAACATTCGATCTTGCGTAGGGACGCTTAACCTCTACATCATTAAGCTGGCATTCAATATCTTGTTGACGATATATTGTATGTAGGTAGTTAGGCTTTACTTCATTTGTTCGTTTTTCCTACAATATTTGTGATCACATGCCATTTGTTGTCCGTTTATTGAATTAAACTTTAATAAGATAAGTAAACATCAGAAAAATATTTATCTAATTGAGTAAATCTGACATGAGTGGAAATTCTTAGCCTCCGCTAATTTCAGTGATATAGATTTTCAGTAATCGAATAAAATCCATTGAAAAATGTATTCATCTAAAGGATGAAATGTTATACAATTATCATAATTAATTTGTTCTCTGCATGTGTTTATTACTATTATTATTATTAGTAGTAGTATTTAACAAAGTTGATTCTAACCGTATAACGGTGATTGTTCTATTTCTATATTCTATGAATGAATAATTTATTGAAAGTTCTTATGAAAGACTTTTAAATAACTTGACAATCGTTCTTTCAAGAAAAAAATCAACTAATCCACCAAGGATTTAAATATATGAGTCAGTGTCTTCAAGTCTAATGTGACTATTCATTTAGTCAAGCTGAATGTAGTGGGCTAGAATTCATATGTCTTAATCAATAAACTATCGCTCTCACTTGAAATATGACTGTTGGAAATGATATTGTATTACATTACGGGGTTGTGAAGATTGTTAAGTTACTCATTGAAATCATGTATCGATCAATGTTAGGCCGCCATTAGAAGCCCTGAAGCACTGGACGGCCGTTTCATCCTGGTATGGGACTTATCAGTGATGCGCACCCACGACTCCTGCACCACTGAGCGGGTCCAGGTGTTAGGCGTTCGCGGTCAAGACCGAAAGTCCTGGGTTCGAATCCAAAGATGTGCATGAATCGTGAATGCGCAATGCTGATGAGTTCCATACCAAGACGAAACAGCTGTCTTTCAGTGCTTCCAGGTTTCTAATGGCGGTCTAACATTGATTGATTCATGATTTCAATGAGTAACTTAACGATCTCCACAAGCGTTTTATGAAAATTATCATGTGCGTACTAGTGACTAGCCCTGCGAGAAAAGTTTCTCTGGCTTCTAGAGAGAAATCGTGATCGGTGAAGTTCAACCGTTTCGAGTGTGAAGTAGTGTTTCCTGAAGACAGTGGATGGGGTCGCTCAAGACCTTGGATTGATCGAAGTTAGACATTAATACCATTAGATGCCGGATGAGTGTTTGCGTGCAAGATTGAATGTCTTGGGTTCAATTCCTGCGAGTAGCGGTAGTCATAGGATGTGCAGTGCAGATAAGTCTCATAGCAGGACGAGATGAGCATCTGGTGTTTCTAAGTTCCTAATGATGGTATAACATTGATCGATTAATGATTTCAGATTACATAAGTTACTCTGAATAAATCAACAAGCAATAAATCTGATGAATTCCCCCAGCAAGTAGTTATTAGGATTATTCGATCGGTAATTTTCATTACGAATTTTTTGAGCGGTTAAGGATGCAATAAAAACTATTTTATTCAGTGAACAGTTTTTCTAGGCTATTTTTGTACATTCTATACACTATTGAATCATAATTAGAATTAATTTCAAAAGGATTTCAAATCTCATAGTAAAAATATGTTGTCATTAAGATAATGAATGTTTCAAAATAGAATGATCTTTTTCAGTCATCTTTTAACGGTAGGTTTTGTCAATCTATAACAAAATATTCATTTCTGATTGATTCCATGAGTCTTAGAATTAACTATAATGATAAGAACTTATTAATTATGTTAGATAAAAATATTAAAACAGTGTATTTTAAATTATTGTTTTAAGTAGTATTGAGAAAACTGAGGCAAGCGAGGAAGATCATATCATGCTACTTAACACTCTGAGTCAATTAAAAACGAAAACATGACATTTAACACTCTATTTGCACCCCATCTTTGAGTCGTGACTTCCCACGGTCTCTCCTTCTTCCATTCCTGTTGTTGCCTCCTTTCCTTCCTGTGGATACTCGATTTACTTCTTGATTTTGCTCCATTTGCTTTCCGTTTTCCTCTTCTGACCGTGAGACTTCTTCTTTCACGTCCCTTCTTATACTACTCATATCGTTCGTATAAGTAGCACACACCACAGTATGATGATAATTGAAACATTTTGGCGGTTTGTTTGAATATCTAGACTACCAGTTTCCTAACATCAAAACAAGTTACCTCTTTTACACTTGTTTTAACACATGTCAACTATGTCTCATAATCGCATATTTTATTCAGGCGCTTATTTAAAAAGTTTACGGATATTCACTTTACATCACGGTATCTGTTAATATGCACTTGAAATAAAGGAAACTTGTTGAAATATTCCATACTGAGAATTTCATATTGTACTATGTTTGTATGTATGTACTATACATACACTATTTGAATAAAAGCAATAACATACAATCTTCCTTTTTCTCTCTCTATCTATTTATTTCTTCACCGAAATAAAAAAAAACCAAACAATAGATTCCTATCAATCCTGATAAAAATCCACACTTTAAAACACAAATAAACACATCAAACAATTGGAATGGTAGTCATTCCCTGCCATCACTGAATTCCATTCCAATCCCTGGACTAAATTCCTCATTTAACAATCATAGTAATGTGAATATACAATCGATAATGAGTAATGGTGTCAGCGATACAACAACAGCAACAGTGATTTCTACTACTACTATTACTACTACGACTACTCCTACTACTACTAATACTACTAACGCTACTCCTACAATCCGACAAGATTTGATCTCATTCAATGATTGGCCAAATGTGACAATGTTTTTATCCAATCAAGTAAGTGAAATTCCACTACTAATACTACTACTACTATTTTTAGAAATGTCATATGCTTTCCAGTGAGTGAGTTAGTTAGTTAGTTACATTGTTTGTTTGCCGAGATGGGAAAAAATTCTGCCAGAGTAGGCAATGATAAATGTATCCCACTAATTGAATTATTGTTTTGCAATTTAACTTATGGCAATTCTCTTCTGATTGTTTATTCTTGCTGGTATGTCGATGTATGCAGTTGTATATATATGTGTGTGTGTGAGTGTGTATATGCATGTACAGCATTGATGATAAAGGAAGTAGAGTTTACTGTTTGTTATTTAAACTAAGTAGATAGATAGATAGATAGGAGGAATAAATGAAGACTTTTCTCATTTTTAAAGGAAAGAAAAAGAAAACTAAATCGATTAGTTTCATCATGGTTCAAGCAAATTAGTTCATATCACATATACATGAAGTAAATTACTCTTGTTTTAATTTGATTGAAAGTGTCGGTTTAGCTTAAGCAAAATGAATAGTCAATGTTTTAAATGATAACAGAACAGTAATGTACGATTAAAGATTAAAGAATGTTGTTTTAAAAGAGAGGATACCTTTGTTTTAAAGGGGGGAATAGAAAAGTACGAAATATTAAGGAAGGTCAAATCTTATAAGAGGATAAGTGAATGAATGAATGAATGAATCGAGGCGATTGTGAGTGATTCCCAGTTATGTCACACATAATTTTCAATTACTGATTGAGTTCATTTATTTAAACTGTCATGCTCGTCAATTGATATGATTGAATGCTATGACGGGTTCACCTTAGAAGAGCGAAGACAAATGAGCCAGTAATACGATAGGCTACTCTAAATCCGAGCGTCCCAAGGCCCTACTAAGTAGAGGAAAAAGTCTTGACAAGACGTAGAAAGCGTATTCTACAAGCACCAAGAAAATATGAGGTTTTATACGGAAGAAGACGAAGAAGAGCATTAAACTTAACAAACAATGCATATTTATACAGTTAGGTCGACCGTGAATACTAACCAATAGGAAAGAACATTTAAAAGTATGTGGACTTGATAGTGTTTAGGACGACCTTGAATATTGACCAATAGCAATTGACCAGTAGAATTAGACTGACGAAATAATTATTTTTAGGATATTTGATGAATATCCTAACATAAACACAATCAAATAGTTTGCGCCTAATAATATCATTCGGTTTATGAAATGATTAAATGACATATTTTCGTGTTCTTATAGTTTTATAAAAGATTTTCACTCATTATTACTATTCATTCTACCAATCCACTCGCCAAAAATATGTCAAAGGTATTTTATGGAGCAGAATGTGTTTGTTGTTGTCTAGTATAGGAGTAGGCAGGACTAAAGTTAGGAGTGGTCAAACCAAAACATAACACACATCCATGAAGTCAATGACGAGTGGACTGTATCTCATTGGTAGGTGTAGACTACCTGATTGGAGACCGTAAGGCAAGAGTAACCGATTGTTAGAGACTTTCAATGGCATGGCTCAAAATCATTTGCAGTGGAACAGAAGCGTCCATTCTTTGTCTTCTCTCACACTCTCATCTTCTGAATTACTCGAGACCACATTTCTTTCATCGAATTTATTTCACTGGATTATACTGCTCGAACCATATCTTCGATCCCTATCCTTGCCCATCGCCGCTAATACTGCTTCAACCTCTGGTGCCATGAGATTTGCAGTGATAATTCCAGATACTTCTCGAATTGTATTTTCGAAACCTAATCTTCTCCATTACTGGTATTACTTCTACTATCGCTACCACTATAAGATTTGAACTGACAGTTGCGTCTCTGTTCTGATGCGGTATGGCAACCTGGACTTAAGTACTCATGTATGAAGCTCTATACTGTAACTAACTGACTGACTGACTCTCTCTCTCTCTGTGTGTTAATCTGGTGTCATAACTCGAGCTGATGAACGTACGTAACAAGTTCTGCGTTGTAGCTGAATAAAAGTAGAGTGTAAAAGTAAAGTCTGATTTAAACATACTTTATTCAGTACGTTTAGTAACTTTTAATATTTTGGCTCAATTATAGATATTCTAGTAAAAAAAAGTACTGTTAAGTTTTAATTAAATCCAAACTTCCAGTCACGATGTTTGAATCGCACGTAACGTTTAGCACTAATTATCTTAACCTCAGTTTCATCATTAATGCGTTATTGCGTAATATCAATGATCCTGGGTTCGATTCCCGCGAACGGAGGTCGTGGATGCTCATTGTAGATGAGTCCCATAGTTAGAAGAAAATGGCCATATTTCAATGCTTTCAGGTTTCTAATGCCCGGTCTAACAATGATCGATTCATGAGTTCAGTGTGTAAAATCAATAATCTGCATAACTCTCATTTGTTGATATCGATTTTCTTTTCTCCTTATTACCCCATTAGAATACATCCAATGAAATCATTACAACCACGTCGATTATTTCAGGCGTAACAACAACAACACCGATCACACCATTCAATACTACTAATCTATCAACCACTGTACAAACTCCATTGAAAACAATCAGTATTACTAATCATAGTAGTAGACATAATTCGTCGAATCGTTTTATTCAGACAACAACAACAGGAACAACAACACTGCCATCAGAAGTACCGATCAATAACACACCGAATTCTGACAATTTTACAAATGCTATGCTAATCGGATCTACGCTGATACCACAAATGGCCTTATTCGATAGAGAAATCAATGATGTAACTAAGTTAATGAACGGACAGACTACAACAATTGGTAGTAATGTACATAATACTACTATTTTGAATAATAATAATGTAAAGTAAGTTGATGTTTTTGGTTTCAGTCGATAACTTTTTGTGTAGTTTTATATGCATGAATGCATAGTGAGTAGTATTGTGAATTTAAACAAAATAATTATCAGTACAAAGAGGCGCCTATATATTGATGCCGCACTTAAATCAATAAATCTATATGTGTGAGATGGAATTTTGTGCCGGGGTACTAAAACCTAAGGAGATGGATTTCTTAGAAGGTCACTCATTGAGCCATCGCTCTACAAGTGTAATCTATACAAAAGAGAAGTGACGTCAGGAGATGCTGTCCCATGGTTCCTTCAAGATATTGGAGTCCATGTGTGGCGTTGTTTTAGAACGAGAGTTATCCAACTCTCCTGGGTGAATCCCCCACATTCAGTAACCCGGTTTAAGTGCTTGGCAATCGCTTTTCATCCTGTAAGTTTGTGACTGGATTGTTATATATACAAATATATTCCCTGAATTTTGAGCTCTTGAAAAACTCAATAGTTCTATGATTTCTCATTACTAATTTGTTGCTAGTTTATTATTCCTCAGTCTCCTCTACTGACAGCTACTTTTGGCTCACTCAGACATAGTTTTCACTTACTGGTGTGTATGCAACGGAGTGTGGTTGTTTTTTGATCATAAGTTCTTTCTTTTTGGTTAAGCAAGTCAGTATTGGCACGTCCTTTAAGCGTAGAGTGACAAATCTCTCGTTCAAGTTGTATTTTGGTCACTTAAAGATCATTTCTGCGTATTAGCTCATGTAAACGACACTCTGTGATGTAACATAGTACACATTAGTTATTTATTGTCATCGTGAATAACCATGCTTAATTATATTTGTTAATTTTCTACTTGCTATGGTTATAAGAAAGAGGATCGACCTTGCGAATTCCCTAAGAAACTCGGCTTTCATCATGAGACAGAGTTCTAATGGTTGGAATTATTAATTTTTTTTGGTCAACGTTTTTATTGCGAGTTAGTTCCCTTTCGGGATAGGGCCACTAACCCCGTGCTCAACTCTCCTCTTTTATTCAGGCTTGGGACCGGTAGTCGCACCAGAGGAGCAACAAGCGAAGTTCATTATCTAGTTACGAAACAAAATTCATCATCTTTTTGAGATTGTTCTGATCTGTTTTTAAGTTTCAATAGTAGATATCAGTTACTGTAAGCGCAAGGCATTTGGTTTGAGTCCCGAAATGGATATTAACTCTGACATGTGGCCGGCACATCCAGCTGACCAGTGCCAAATGAGACGTAACGCGCTTCATGAGTCTCACTTCTCGCCATTTTCAACCTCTGTTATTAATGTTTGTAACGTGAATACAATAGTGAGGGAATCCACACAGGATGCACCTATGCCATTCTCTCTTTCAGATTCACTTTCAAAATTTTTCCTTAGAAGCTTGTTTATCCTGTCCCACAGTAGGCTGTTGCTGAAGGTATCTGGTCAACGGATATGGAGGATTGTGCATAAATACCTGTTTATAAAAACCTGTATCATTCTGACTATAGTTATAGTAGCTCCTCAAGTTTCAGCTGCATTGAAAATCCTGACTTTACTGTTAATAACTTGACTCAAAATCAGTTACTGTTTGTCTTATTGTGAGTTTCAAAATCATTATAAACCAGTTTATCCCATAATTATATCCCTTATGCCTAAATATAAATTTTTAGAAATCACAGCTAGCATTAAGATACAAGATATTCACTGAAATCAATATGAATATCTGTCATTTGTCAATAAATAACTGTTGATAAGATTGATGAACCAATCATTTTTAGACTGCTACTAGAAACCTGGAATTACAAATTTATTGATTTTTGTGGCGCATTAATATGTAGGTGCCTCTTTGTATCGATAATTAAATTAGAGTGTTTAAAGTTCCAGATACGATTCCTGCTTAGCCGGGCTCATGGATTCGCACTACTCATGAGTCCCGTACCAGGATGAAACAGTCATTCAGTGAGTACTTCAAGGTTTCTAATGATAGTCTAACAGGGATCAATTCATGATTTCAATTGAAACTCAACAATCTCCACAAGACTATATATAATAAATCAGTTTTTATTAGAGCGTATTGTGGGAAAAAAGTATTTTTTTTCTCTTTGTTATTGAAAAAGAAAACGCAATTACACCATTTTATCAAGACGCGTAATTAATGATAATAATAATAATAATAATAATAATAATAATAATAATATAGATACCATCTCGTAAAATTAATATCTCAAGCATAAAGGTCTTCCTACTAGCTTATACATATTTCTTAATTGTAAAAATCTTATCTTAATGCATCTTACTTACAAAAATTCATTTCACCACAGCAAGTAATACACATAGTTTGTTAAGCGAAACGAAAAAGTTGTTTTTTTCCAACACTACACAGGCAAATACAACAATAATGAATACTGTATACAGAGAGAGGGAGAGAGGGAAACAGTTGTTTTGATGCTACACAGCGAGAGAGAGAGAGAGAGAGGAAAAAACAATCAAATTCATTAGTTTATAGTTTAATTCATGTACTTACTACTAAACACAAAAATATGTTGCTTTAGATAAAAAAAAACATTAAAGAAATCCACAGATTGATTTGAAAATGAATTTACAGTAAACAACAGCAATAGCAGAGTAGTGAAGATTGTTAAGTTTCATGTAAAATCATGAATCGACCAACATTATTAGACTAGCATTAGAAACCTAGAAGTGTATTGGGTGGCTGCTTCTACCTATCCTGGTATGAAATTCATTAGCAATGTGCATCCACGAGCATCGGAAGCGACAATCGTACCTGGAACCTTCGATCTCGAGCGCGGATGCTTAACTTCATGGTCACTGAACCAGTATTCAACATGGTTTCATGTTTAATTGTGCAACCTCACTGATTGATTGTCTTCGCTAGGTAACTGCCTCACACTTGATAAGGTTGAACTCCACTGGACAAAAGTTCTCACTAGGATTCTGAGAATTTCTTCACGAAGCTTAGTCACTAGTAATTCCCATACTAGGACGAGACAGCCGTCTAGTTTTCTTTGATTCATGATTTCAACTGAAACTCAACAATTTCCACAACCTTTTAATGAAAGCTTTGAATAACACTGACGATAAGCTATAAAAAATATGTTATATTTGTACCTATGGTATATTTACAACAAATCTTAAATAAAACAATAACGCGATACAATTAGGTGATTCAAAGTGGTTGAATCCGTTAAGAAGTGACACTCCTTTCAATTTATCGATATGCTAGTAAAAATATAACAAATACTAATAGCTTCGTGACTTCTGAAGGAACTCGGCTTTAATTATGAGATGTCATAATTCTTCTTGGTGAATACCTTCTAACTGTCAGGGCAGAGTTTAAATAGTTTGAATCATTTTTTATGGGTAGGGTGTTTTTTTAGCGAGCTACTTTTCTACGCGGTATGATCGCTAACCCCATACCTAACCCTTCACCTTTTATCCAGGCTTTAGATCGTCAGTAGCTTTAGAGGGGCTCTAGGTGGATTTAGTCTTGAATTAATTTATAAGAATTAAGATGACACCAAGTGTATTTTGCGCAGAATTTTAAAAATGGTATTAGATAACTTCAATATTATTTCTATAATTATTATTGGCAAAGTAAAAAACATTGGCATAGTGCTTAAATTAGATTACAAAATATACTTTCACTTAAGGCAGATTATGTGTTAAAGTACTTGAGATTCAATACAACATAATCAAGAATGCCTAATGAACTTACTTTACCCTATATTTAAATTCTAAGATTGTTAAGTTTATAAACACAAGGGTGACAAAGTACTGCATTATAATTAACGTCATAATATCCTAATCTTCACTTTTCAGCACTATAACTAGTATATAAGTCCGTGATAATAATCTTGACTCATAATACTAGCGTGACTCCTAATTTGTAGGACTTAGCTTGTTTGTTTTACTACAAGAAATCAGTTCAACATATAAGAATCAATTATTCAGATCAAAACTATTATCCAACTGTTATTTTATTGCCTTATGCTGTTATATGATTCATAACTAAACAATGTTTGCCAGTTGACAGATAAACCGCTCAAGGTAGGCCGTCAGTCAATAGTACTTTTACCGGTACGCCTTATTGATGAGTGTAAACAAGGACAAAATCTAAGTAGAACAGAATTTCTCTTGACGACAACCATCTACAACCTCTTAACATCTCTACAAAGTACATTCGGTAACAAGTTATTTAAACCAGTGACTATATTACAACTTTATCAATGGAATTCGATGCGATTGAGAGGCATTAGAGATACAAAATGATTACAGATATGAAATCATGAATCGTCCTAACCGAAGGTCCTGGGTTCGAATCCTGCGGGTGCAGTAGTCGTTAAAGCGCACTGCTGATGAGTCGCATATCCATTGCTTCCAGGTTTCTAATACTGGTGGTCTAACATCGATCAATTCTTGATTTCAAATGTGTAACTTAACAATCTTCACAACCCTGTAATACAAAATGATTAGGCAATTTTAAATTTCACAGTATATTTGTTTAACAACGAAAATCAACAATAATGAAATAGTTTAACTAGGCAAGTTCTTTTTTCAAAGCAAATATGGACAATGCAGGGTTTTTTTTGATAAGATACTGTATTGCCTAAATACTCGACCATATTATTGATCGATTAACAGATTGTTTAGTGAGTTAAAATTAGTTGAATTTAACAGGAAATAGATTTTTGTAAATAAATTGTTTAGTTGAAAAGATAATTTATTCATTTCAACATGTAACTTCAGCCTTTAGTTGGTTAGCGTTTAGAAAGGAAGTAGGTACCTTATGTTCTGGGTGTGGATATGTGTAAGGCAGCATGTGAGCTTATCTGGAAGAGGAAAGAACAAGAGAAAAATGTGACCCAATGATTCAGTAAGCACATAGAATAGACTTAAATTCAATAGACAGACAAATACAACGCAGAACTTCGTACGTAAGTACATCAGTTCAGGATGACATACCACGTCAGCACACAGAGGCACCTGTCAGTTCAAATCCAAGAGTGATAGCGATAGTAGAAGTATTAGCAAATATGGAGAAGATTAGGGAGCGAAGGTATGATTTGAGATGTATAATTCAGTGAGATAAATTTATAAAGAGAAAGACAGAGGTGATGAGAAATTCAGAAGGTTATAATTACAGAGAAAACAAAGAGTGGATGCACCTGCACAATTGCAAACGATTCTGAGCCATGTCGTTCAAGGTCTCTAACAATGGATGATTTTCATCTCACGGACCCCAACCACGTAGCCTACATCTACCAACATGAATCAGTCCAGTCCACTTGTCAGTGACTTCGTGGATTTCTGCCATGGTTTGGTTTGGCCACCCCTAGCTTTCTTCTAACCTATTCCTACACCACAAAACATAGCTCGTCGCGGCAGTCGGTGGTTGGGCATACGTAACACATGTCCCAACCACCTCAACTGATCAAGTTTCACTACTTCATCTATCGATTTGCCGTCCCAACCTAGAACTCGTTGCTCACTCGGTTGTTCCACGATACACCAGCAATACTTCGGAGACATCGATGATCGATGACTAGTAATCTACGAAATTCCTCTACTCTTAACAGCCACGATTCGCATCCGTATAGTAGGACAGAGAGAACTGCTGCACAGTACACTCGTCCTTTGGTTAGCAAGCGGATATCTCGCCTACGCCATAAGTGACGCAGGTTGGCAAAAGCCAATCGAGCCTTCTGTATCCGTGCTGAGATGTCGTCAGTCACCAGGCTATCAGCATTGATGAGACTCGCCAGATACGTGAAGTGATCTGCACGTTCGACTACTTCACTCCCTATCACTAATTCAGGTGCTAATGCAACCCAATCTTGAGGCAATATTTTGCATTTCGGAGGGGGGGGAACCGCATCTCGAACATGCTTGCATTCTTGCTCAGGATGGTCAGAAGACTCTGCATTTTGTCAGCGTCTTCACCGAATAGAACTATGTCATCGGCATATTCTAGATCAGTAAGCGATTTTCCTGGTAGAAAGTCGACTCCTGAAAAGTAGAGCGAAGATAATGTTATATCTAGCAGCATGTCTATGGCAAAATTAAACAAGAATGGGGAAAGTGGGCATCCCTGACGGACACCACTTGAAGTAAAGAATTTTGATGACATTTCGCCATAGGCTCTTACTCGACCAGTGGTGCCCGGGTGGAGAGCCTGTATGAGGTTAATGTACCTTTCAATGACAGACACTGCCACAGAACCTCACGATCCAATGAGTCAAATGCCGCCTTAAGGTCCAGGAAGACAACTATTGTCGGACGCCTAAATGTTTGTCTGTGTTCCAGGACTTGTCGTACTGCGAAGATGTGATCTATACAGAAATGGACAACGAAACAGAAATAAAACTAGCATGAGATCAAGAGAGACTGATAGTCGAAAGTAGAAGTTGGTAGAGTAAGTTTTCGAATACATTACAATAGTACTTACTTACTTTATCCCTAATGGAGCATTGGTTTACGACTAGCATTCTCTAACAAATTCTGTCCTGGACTTTCCTTTCCAGTTCTACTCAATCTCTGTTCATTGTTTTTTCTGTGTTTCTAGCTCTCAACCTAATGCGTTCCTTGGTTGCTTACCTCTTAAAAGTTCATTTTTCGGACAATCTGGTCACACATACATATACTTATTGAAGCACTTAATCTGAAAATTAATCAAAGGTTAACTAAATAACAGTTTAATTGAACATAAGGTGATAATTGTATTTAGAGGAGAGGGAGAAAATTAACGAACTATAGAAAGAATAAGAAATTGCCATAATCTATAAAATGGCTTAAAAATTACCAAGGTAAATACAAGGTTATAACAAATTATTTCTGTAGACATAAGGCGGGAGGTTGGTGGCTGTTGAATTCAAGAATAACCAAGGCTTCTATTAACCACAGAATTCATCTTTGAACAGGTCTATACAACGTTTTAAAAGTCATCTTGATGTCAATCCTATTTGAACTTTTATTTACTTGATCTTGATTATGAATTTTCAAATAAAATGCTTTGACAATTGAATATATTTGTGTGTGACCGGATTATTCAAAATGTGACGGCGCAGATACATCATCTATGATTCTTAGTTCAACTATGTCTACTATCAAAATGTTTTTTTTTAAAAAAGGGATTAATTACTTAAAAGATTTATTACCAAACTAAATCATTTAAATTTACACAATTAAAACTATGTTTATTTGAGCAATAAACATATATATGATACGTAAAACGATAGACAGTACTTCTCACTTACGCCTGTTAAGCCAACGATAAGCATTTTCCAACCTACTCCGTCCTGAGGCTTTTTTTCCGATTCTATCCAACTGATGTTCATTCATCTCATGTCTATTTGCATTTCTCAGCGTAACATGTTCTTTGGTTGTCTTCTATTCCTTTTGGGCATTGAGGATTCCAAGTTTACGGATCACCTCGTGATGCAGTTCGATGATCTCCGCAATCTATATCCTATCCCCTTTCAGTACCTTTTCCCCCACATCTTCCTCATTTGGAATCTAGTTTGTTCTCTAACACACAGCTGGTTGTCATTGATAATGTCTGGACAACAGATATTGAATCACTATTAATAAACACTCATATCTTTGTGATGATGATTTTGTTGATTCTCCAAGTCTCCTCTCCATACAGTAGAACTGTCTTGACGTTTGTATTGATCATTTCAGACTTCAGTTTCGGTTGACAGTTTTTGTTTGAAGTTCCAGCAGATTCTTCAATTATATGTAAGACATTAAGATAAACACCTGTTTTTTATTTGTTGTGAAAATTTTCTTTTGTCACGAAACTAATTATTATGTAAACAATGTCATTTGATATTTTCCTTCTCTTTCTCTCTGTTTCATTTTAAAGAGATTCACGTGCTGGTTGTTTAAAACCAATCCGATTAAATGAACCATTGACATCAATGAGTAAAGCATTCGCAGAAGTAGACAATGCTATTGCACATGTTGTCTCTAGTGCATTCTTTTCATCATCTGCTCTAACAACGGCTACCACGACGGCTACAACGACTACCACTGCTACAACGACAACGACAATGACAACAACAACTACCACAGTGATGACTACAATGATTGCACCAAGTATAGATCATTTAAAAAATAATACACATTTCTTACACAATCATTGTAATCATACTACTACTGATAATAATAATAGTAGTAATGATACTATGAATAGTATTGATAAACATTTGCCCATGAAGAAAGATTTACTTCCAACACAAACACTACATTTTCCTCCAATATTGGATACACCATGGGAAGAACCAGATTGTAGTGAAGGTAAATTTGGATATTTTTGTTTTTTTTAAAAACTTTTCACTCAATATTCACTTGTTCATAGTTGTGATATTTCTTAAAACATTTATCACTGATTAAAATCATGAATTAATCATTGTTAGACTACCATTAGAAACCTGGAAGCATTGGATAGCTGTTTCGTCTCGTTATGGAACTCATCAGTGGCAGTACTCATCCACGACTCCTGCTACTCGTAGGATTTCAACTGAGGATCTTCGGTCTTGAGCGAGAACGCGCCTAAAATCTAGACCACTAGTACAAAGGGGCACTAAAAGATTCATGTGCCACATAAACTGATCAATTTGTATGTCGGATGAGCTACTGCGTGAGTGTCCAAACTGAAGCAAGCAGCTTTCTTATAGGGCAATTCATCGAGCCTTTGATGGACAGGTTTAATCCACAAAATAGCGAAGCAAAATTAGGAGATGCTGTCCCCTTGTTCCTTCAAATGGATCATCCATAGCCGCCAATGCAATTAAAATAGTTTCGTCCTATTTCGTAATAAAAAGTCGCGCTGCAAGGTTGTAATGAGTAATAATTGTCTTCTATTGGCTATACATTTGTGTCCATATGAGATCATTCCTCACTTCTGACTGGACTAAGACATTTAAGGGTGTTGAAAGTAATTTTCATGATTGTGAACGGATGAAATTTAAAGAGTATTTGAAAACTGCTGAGGTGTGGATAGTTAATTTATATACATTTCGAACTGACCATGGAAAACTAAAAAGTAAAGTACAACTGTTTAGTTGTAGTATGATACAGTCTATAAGGAAATCGAGCATGGAACCTTCGGGAGTTGTAGCAATCGTGTAACCTTCAGGCTGATTAGTCGATATCCAGTCGCTTACATATTCGCTGGATTTCAAGCATTTCAAGCCTAAGACGAATATCAACAAAAGAAATAGACAATCGTCTTTTTTCATATCATAAATTAACTGGATTTAAGAAATGTAGACCACTAAATACGATTTTAGTACGGAACACACAAATACACTACTCCATATACGATTAAATTCAGTGGCATTAGGTCTCACTAAGGATAAGATACCATTCAGTGATTGACAAAATGGAATCCTATGATCCATACCATATATCATCGATCTATTCCCAATGATCTTAATCATTTATGATCCAGTATGTAAACGTCAATAATTAAATCATCATGTGAAATCATAAATCAATCATTTTAAACCATCATTAGAAACATAGTGTAGTGAACGAGAACACAGGTGGGGCAACCCAATTGTATTTAACGAAAATTATAGAGTTACTCAGTAAAATCGGAAAACCATATCGTAAATCGTTCATTTGCAAAATATCAGTCCATCATATCGAACTGGACTGTTCCTGTTGCAAAACATCAATCCATTGTCACTATTCATGCGTTTCATACAAATTCCATTGTTTTCTAACTCTTCCTTTCTTGATCTTCCCCCATGTTCTGCTGCCAGACATTAAGTTGACACTGACGTCATATACTACTTATAAGTAGCTCGCACCACAGCACCACAATAGAAGCACTGGATAGCGGTTTTGTCGTAGAATGCGACTTATCAATAGTATACACCAGAATCGAACCCGGGATCTTCTGTCGTGTGCGTGAAGTCTTAACCTGTAGGCCACTGAGCTGGTATCCAACGGTAGCAATATCTGATAACTTTAATCGATCTAAGCTTTTGAGCAACCTTAATAATGCACTGATGATGAGGTGGCCTAAACCAACAGCGGAACAATTGTTAAATGCTTACTAATTATATCTGGCAAGTAGTAATGCACAAAACTATTCATAGATAAAACCAACTTTATTCGTTAATCATTTCAAACAAACAAATACCAATGAAAACAAACAATGTTTAACTATTTAGAATTGAATAATATAACTAAACTGTACGCTTTATTCTTAAGTTTTAAGAAAAACAAATTAGAAAGTAAACAGAAAACACTTGATTAACTCTCTTTTGTGTTCAGTTAAATTGTATTTACTTTGATACCATGGTAAGCTCAATAATTATCAGTAAATAGAAGGCAACATAAAGTTACTATGTACATGCCATTTAAAATTAAAATTTATTTGAATAACAAACTAACCAACCAGTAACTCAACTATCTCCACAACTCTTTTCATCAAAACTCGTCATGTGCTTACTAGTGATTAGTTATTTGAGGAAATTTCTCCGAGTTCTAATGAGAAGTCGTGACCTGTGAAGTTTAACTATGTCGGATGTGAACCAGTGTTCACCAAAGACAGTGAATTGATCGAATTTAGATATTAACACCGTTGGATGTTGGCTCAATGGGTCAACAGGTTAAGCGTTCACGCTCAAGCCAGAAGGTCCTGTGTTCGATTTGCCGCGAGTAGCTGGGGTCATGGATGTGAACTGCCACTGATTAGTCCCATACCAGGACGAAACTGGTCTACAGTGCTTTCACGTTTCTAATACTAGTGGTCTAACATTGATCGATTCATGAATCCAATAAACAAACTCAACAATCTTCATAAACCCCTTTTTCACTATTTGTTTTCTAATTGAATTGCAAATTGAAGTAGGACAAGATGTGAAAAATGTTCAATGATCCATATTGAAACGTTTGAACAGGAAAAAATATATTCAAATAATCATTTATTTATTTAAACGAATCATTTTGATAAACAATCGCGTAGAAAAAAAAGTGTGAGAGGGAAAAACAAATCACTTCATCATGAGAAAAAAAGAATATGGAATGAAGTTTGTATGGTGAAAAAAAAGGAGATCAATAAAATTGTAAATAATAATAAACATTATAAACTATTGAAAACATTGAAAAATTTCTCACTTTAACAAAACAAAATTAGTTTGAATATTTAAAAGAAAAAACAAACAAACAATTAATCACATTAATGATGATATAAGCATTGCTCGTATATCCTGGGACACCCGAGTGAGCAACGCTGTTATTAGGAATCGGGTGCTAGGTAAGAATGGCAGATCAATAGACGCAGTAGTGACACTTCATCAGTTGAGGTGGTTGGGACATGTGCTGCGTATGCCCAACCACCGACTGCCTCGAAGAGCTTTGTTTTGTAGTGTAGGAATAGGTTGGAAGAAAGTTAGGGGCGGCCAAACCAAAACATGGCAGAAATCCATGAAGTCATTGACGAGTGGACTGAGCCATGTCGGTAATTGTCGACTACCTGGTTGGGGTCCGCGAGATGATAATAATCGATGGTTAGAGACCTTGAATTACATGGCTCAAAATCGTTCGCAATGGCGCCGGTGCATTTATTCTTTGTGTTCGCTCAAATCCTAATCTTCTGGATTCGTCAACAACTCTAGTTTTGACTTTCTAAACTTTTCTCACTGAATCATACTTCTTGAATAATATCTTCTAATCCTAACCTCTCCGATTACTGCTAATACCTTTACTACCTCTTCTACTATTGGATTTGAATTGACAATTACATCTCTGTGCTGATGTGGTATGGCGACATGAACTGATGTACTTACGTACGAAGTTCTACGTTGCATCTGTCTGTCTCTGTCTGTCTTAATGATGATATTGAGTTTTAAATGAATTTTCTTAACTCACATCAGAAACTGATCTTATTTAGCTAGACAAACCGTTGAAAGCGAGGGATTAGTAAACAATTGTTTCATCTTAATATGAGACTTTTTACCAGTGGGTATTTACGACGATATGAAAGATGGACCCGTAAGACCTTCGGTTTCTCAAGCGAGTTTTCAACTTCTGAGCCACTGTCTAACTTGAGTCATAGCGCCATATTAATTGGTTATCTTCCTTTAGCTGCTATCAATTTCCTAAAATAGTGCCTGTATTCTTGACTGAACTGATATCGTCTGTGTGATACCTATTCTTTGTCAACTAGACGTTGTTACTCGTCTATTCACTTGCCAGCTGACCATCTCCTCTAAGGCTGAGATATTTACAGTTGGTTGATTACTCAGAAATGATCTGTGTCGTGCTTGTGTAATCTTCTGGTGCAATAGGGACACTAGTTCAGATGATTAAACAAGGTCATGTGGTCGGATGTGAATGTTCATGGTTGCATCCTGTGTGAATTTGCTGATAAACTAAATGGCAATTTTAAATAAACTGTTATGTTCATACCCGTTGTCTAATATCTTGCGAAACAAGTAAAACATCATTCACCATAGGATTATGCATTAACGATCCCCAATGAACGACCAAGTTTTTATTGGTTCAGAATTTTCTCCCTAAATGGCTCATTGGGTCCAGAAGTCTACTCATCGAATCGCATAGAATCAAATTGTATATATATTTTAAAAACGCATTTTCTATATTGAAGAATACTTGGTCACACACACACGCACACTTACGCCTGTAACCCCCGAAGGAAGTATAGGCCGCTGGCCAGTTTGTGGCTAACGTTGTTTAGCGAGTCTGCCTCCTATAGGTTGAGGTCGCTAACCCCATACCCAGTCCTCCTTCTTTATCCGGACTTGGGACCATCAGTAACCCCATAGGGGGCTCCAGGAGGAGTTACTTGATCACATCACGCCAACAATGATACATGACAATGAGTTAATCAAAAAACTCAGGATGCCAAAAAATAGATGTATATAAACTATAGTCTGGTTACTTAACAGTTATCCAACACTTTCTACTACTTATACCTGTTACCCCCAGTGGAGCATAGGTTGCCAACCAGCATTCTCCAACCTGTTCTATCTTGAGCCTTCCTTTCCAGTTCTATCCCAATGATGTTCATTCTTCGCTTATCAGCAATCAATACTCGGCGTATTGTGTTATTTGGTCTTCCTCTTTTGTTTTGGCCTTGAGGATTACTAAGCCAACTTTGCATGAAGCCCCTCTATGGTTACTACCGGTCCCAAACCCTGATAAAGGAGAAGGTTTAGTCATGGGATTAGCACCCTGATCCTGTATAAAATTAGCTCGCTAAAAAAACACTAGCCAGAAAAAACAGTTCGAACGATTTGAAATCTGCCTTGATAGTTAGA